CGTCCACCTGGCTTCACTGGGACTTTCCCTCCTGGCACCCAGTGGAGCCTCAGACGGCCAGTCTACGGTCTCCGCCAGGCACCGCGTGAGTGGCACGACACACTGAGGACTACGCTTGCGGCTCTTGGGTTTGCTCCTTCTACTGCTGACCCGTCGCTGTTTCTTCGCACCGACACTTCCCTGCCGCCGTTCTACATCCTCGTGTACGTCGACGACTTGGTCTTTGCCACAGCGGACACTGCTGGACTCGCCTACGTGAAGTCCGAGCTGCTGAAGAGACACACGTGCACAGACCTGGGTGAACTGCGCAGCTACCTTGGCTTGCAGATCACTCGGGACAGAGCACGCCGCACCATTACCTTGACTCAGTCACACATGGTGCAGCAGGTCCTTCAGCGCTTCGGCTTCACGTACTCCTCGCGTCAGGCCACTCCTCTGCCTACTCGCCACTCACTCTCAGCTCTGCCTTCGGATGAGTCCGTAGAGTCGAGTGGTCCGTATCCAGAGCTTGTTGGCTGCCTCATGTACCTGATGACCTGCACACGACCTGACCTTGCATACCCTCTGAGCATTCTTGCACGCTATGTTGCTCCTGGGAGACACAGACCGGAGCACATGGCTGCAGCGAAGAGGGTATTGCGCTACCTGTGCAGTACGTCAGGCATGGGGCTAGTGCTTGGAGGGCGGAGTCCAGTGGTCCTTACCGGCCACGCGGACGCTTCTTGGGCTGACGACCAGGCTACGCAGCGGTCGTCACAGGGTTACACCTTCAGCCTTGGTTCCGGCTCTGTCTCGTGGCGGTCTACTCGCTCGTCTTCGGTTCTCGGCTCCAGTTGTGAGGCTGAGATCTACGCCGGAGCCATGGCTGCACAGGAGCTTCGCTGGCTCACCTACCTGCTGACTGACCTTGGAGAGCCGCCTCGTTCTCCTCCAGTGCTGTACGTAGACAACAAGGCTATGCTGGCCTTGTGTCGAGAGCAGCGCTTGGAGCACAGAACGAAGCACATTGCTCTCCGCTACTTCCTTGCTCGTGAGTTGCAGCAGCGTGGTCAGTTGCGACTTGCGTACGTGGCCTCTGAGGCCAACACTGCTGATGTGTTCACCAAGGCACTTGCGCCTTGTGACCATCAGCGCTTCTGCACCCAGCTGGGTCTTGTGCCTGTCTTGCCTCACTTGCTCTCCTCTTGACTTTACTTGTACTGTGACATATATATATACCTGCTCTTGCTTGTCTAGTTTTATATATATGTCTGTACTCTTGCTTGTGAACTGGCCTTTGGCCTTGCTCTTGTGCTCGGATTGTGTGGTGACTTTGTGATCCACCCTGAGCTTTGCTTTGTCTTGCTTGACTGGTCTTGTGACCCCTTGTTCTCCCCCACTTTGCCTATGGGGGTGTGTCATAACATGTCTATAGCTTATACTGCTGTGTAGGCTGTAGTGGGGTATCCCATAGGGGGTACAACCCAGTTAGGGTTTCACATTTGTACTGCTTTCACTCATAGTTCACATCATCCCTGCTTACTCATTTCACAGGCAGCTGCAGCGGTGGGACTGAAAGAAGGAGGAGGGAAAGGGAGAGAGTTGACCCCACGCTCCAACACCCTCCACCCCCATACCCTCCTCCCCACGGCTGCAGGGAGACAAGAGAAAGGGGGGGGTGGGAAGGAAGAAAGCCGCAGAGCGGCGAAGAGGCGTCGGTGCAGATGGGTCAGGGACGGCAGCAGGGAGTGCAGGGGCGGAGAGGCCCGTCGCGGGCCAGTGCCACGGGGCGCACGACGGGTAGGATAAAAGGGCCCGATCGTGTGCCTCGGGGCGCACGACGAGCAGGGCACCATCGTGTGCCTCGGGGCGTACGATGGGCAGATAAAGGGCACCGTCGCGTGCCACGGGGCGCGCGACGGGCAGGATAGGAGTCACACGCCCGTGGGCGGGACAAGGTAAAACTAAAATCGTCACGCGCCCTAGGCGCGCGACCGGAAAATCTCAGCAGCGGAAGAGTAACGCGGGCCCACAGGCCAGGACGAAAACAGCTCTGATACCATGTCAAGATAGTAGGTAATAGAGAGTAGAAACGTGGGGCCTAGGCTTAGTAGCCTAGGCCCTAACTTAGTATCGAGCGGGTTTTCCCCTAGGGTGAGAGTCGAGTGAGTTGAGAGGAAAATTGTGAAAAGGTGAGTTTCACTATAGGTTCAGGGGTACATATAGCATAGAAACACAATAAGGTGCACCACCAACAAAAGTTTACATAACTACACTAACTACAACTACAAGCAATTATAAAACATGACAAAATATTTCGACACATATGTGATGCTCGAATGTGTGTGTGATCTGTTTTATTAATATAAAACTATATTAATAAATTTGAGAGACGTTATCACTACCAGCGTTTTGCCATTATACCTATCTCAAACTGTGCATACCTATATCGCACAGCGTGATATAGGTATGATGGCAAAATGTCGGCAGTAATAATGTCTCTCAAATTTATTAATATAGTTTTAGATTAATAAAATAGATCATACACACATTCGAGCATCACATATGCACGCTCATATAGGTAAATATGCGGTTTTATATGAGCGCGATCTTACATGACCGCGTTTGATTGGACGTGCAAGGTCAGAAAAGGCCTCGCGCATAAAGTCGACCAATCAGGCGCACTCTGTAATTGGTCGCGCGTACTGACATCCGTCCAACTGAATATATGATCGTAGAATCATATAACTATACGCGGATTGGTTACGATATGGACCGAAATTGAGCGCAACTGTTTGCCTAGATGAGTGTGCTGATTTTTGTCGCGTATCCGAATAGTGACGTTGTCGCCCTCGTGCACGTCTTTCCGGGTACGCCACACTTTCGCGGGAAGAGACACGTTCGAAGTAAGAATTTCAGGGCTAAAAACCGGCTTTGGGTAATGTGCCGGATTAAAAAAATGCCAGAGGAAACCTCTGGCAAGACCACTCGAGCAATTATCATCGAATTGTCCGACCACGGTAGCAATTCGAGGCCACGTGTGCAACGGCAAATCACCGTTTCGGGGTCTGGAGAAATTCTCTCGGAGTTTGTGTACCAAAACTCACTCCACAACAACCCAACCACAAAAGCAGAGGGCCCGCCAATGACGGGCGAATTAGCCTTAGGAAGCGTTACTCAGTTTAGAACATCACGCTATCCGTCAAAACGGACGGATAAATTGCCACTTGTTCAAATGTCGCAGTTCGTCGCTTGCCTATAGCTCGCCTTCCAAGTCATCGTTCGTCGGCGTGTTGACGCCATTTATCGTCTTATAATCGTCGTGTTTCGCCGTCGCCTTCCGCTCGCATCTCGAAGCTCGATTGTCCGCTAGTCGTTGCGTGTCGCAGCCCACTCAGTGGCGGTCGCCGCAGAACTGGCGTTGCTCGTTGCAACCAGCACGTCGCGATCCGCTTTCTCGCTGCATCCTGCTCCCCGCTATCAGCTCATCGCTCCGCTCCTGCTTTCCGCACCCCGCTTTCAGCGTTGCCACTCGTGCGGTTCCGCTCGATGCTCGCCGTTTCCCCTGCTTCGCTCCGTTTCGCGGGCGTGAGCCGCGATTACGCGGGAGGCGCGGAAGGGAGGCAGCAGCGGTTTAGCGCAAGGCGTGGACGCGAGGTAGCAGGACGGGAGGGGCGGACGGGAGCAAGGAGCAATCTCGCGCGCGTGGCGGGCTGGAGCGAGCAGCGACGGGGAGGGAGGGGGTGCGAGGGGGACTGAAGGAGCCGCTTCTACATCCCCCTCCCGTCGACCTCGCTTCCCCCCTCCCGTCGACCCCTCTTTCCCCCTTCGCTTTCCACCTCCCGTCGACCTCGCTTTCCCCCTCCCGTCGACCTCGCATTCCCCCTCCTGTCGACCTCGCTTTCCCCCTCCCGTCGACCTCGCTTTCCCCCTCCCGTCGCCCTCGCCTTCCCCCTCCTGTCGCCCTCGCCTTCCCGTGCTCACTATCTTTCCCCATGCTCACTCTCTTTCCCCCTGCTCACTCCTCTTTCCCTCTCTGTTTGTCCCTCATTCTGTTTCCCCCTGCTCACACCCCTAATCAGCCCCTACTTTAGAGTTCAGTGCAATGCAATGGGAGAGGTTAGAGGGAGAGGGAGTGCATTCATGCCATGCGTGCGTTAGAGGGAGAGGGAGTGCATTCATGCCATGCGCGCGTCCCACTCCCCCCGAGTCCCCCCTCGTTGGCTAAGCTCGCTGCTGTAGTGTCGTGGGCCACTGTCGCCATGCGCTTCCCCGCTCCCTCCTCTTCCCCACTCCGCTCGATTACTCCCCTCTCCCCTCCCTGCCCTCTCTCCCCATCCTTCCCTTTCCCCCCTCCCTGTCCTGTCCTGTCCCGACTCCCCTCTCTCCTATCCCACCTCCCTGCCCTGTCCTGTCCCCCCGCTGCCCTGTCCTATCCCCCCTCTCCGCCCTGTCCTATCTCCTCACTCCGCCCTGTCTTACCTCCTCACTCCGCCCTGTCCTATCTCCTCACTCCGCCCTGTCCTATCTCCTCACTCCCTGTCCTATCTCCTCACTCCCTGTCCTATCTCCTCACTCCCTGTCCTATCTCCTCACTCCCTGTCCTATCTCCTCACTCCCTATCCTATCTCCTCACTCCCTGTCCTATCTCCTCACTCCCTGTCCTATCTCCTCACTCCCTGTCCTATCTCCTCACTCCCTGTCCTATCTCCTCACTCCCCGTCCCATCCCCTCACCCCTCACCACCGCAGGCGAGCATGACACTGGCTCAGACAAGCTGCATGGATGTGCCGCCCCTTCTTGAACATGCTTTCAGCATGTCAGAGGCCCAGACAGGCTACATTGCGTACAGGGGCCGTCAGCAGATTCAAAACGGAGCAAAGGCTTCCCTCCCTATCCTGATATGGCATGCTTATACCGTATTATATGTACTCACATCTCACTAAATATACCGTATGGTTCTAAAATGTTTACATCTTGTCGTGTGATTTGGATAAGGGGTTACACACAAAACCAAGAGGCTACCATGACAACAGCATGAACAGCAACTTGAGCACATGGTGTGAGAGCATGGTGTGAGAGCATGGTGTGAGAGCATGGTGTGAGAGCATGGTGTGAGAGCATGGTGTGAGAGCATGGTGTGAGAGCATGGTGTGAGAGCATGGTGTGAGAGCATGGTGTGAGAGCATGGTGTGAGAGCAGGCTAGGCTGAGGGCAGGTGATGAAGTGAGAGGGCTTGGTGCGACTGGGATGAAAGGCATGGTATGAGAGGCATGGGATGAGAGGCATGGGATGAGAGGCATGGGATGAGAGGCATGGGATGAGAGGCATGGGATGAGAGGCATGGGATGAGAGGCTTGGGATGAGAAGCTTGGGATGAGAGGCTTGAGATGAGAGGCATGGGATGAGAGGCTTCGAATGAGAGGCTTGGGATGAGAGGCCTGGTTTGAGAGGCTTCGAATGAGAGGTTTGGGATGAGAGGCATGGGATGAGAGGCATGGGATGAGAGGCATGGGATGAGAGGCATGGGATGAGAGGCTTCGAATGAGAGGCTTGGGATGAGAGGCTTGGGATGAGAGGCATGGGATGAGAGGCTTCGAATGAGAGGCTTCGAATGAGAGGCTTGGGATGAGAGGCATGGTTTGAGAGGCTTCGAATGAGAGGCTTGGGATGAGAGGCTTGGGTGTGACAGTAGCGAGGAGAGAGAAGGTCACCTGTCATACAGTCACACTGGAAGGAAGGGAATTAGGTGATGAATCTCTTGGAAGGAAAGCAGGGAGAGGGAGGGGAAGGCTAAGGAAGGCAATGCAGACGTGGCACGGTAGAGCAGGACAGGCGGGGACCAAGCGAGGAAGTGAACAGAGAGAGCGGAATCAGCATGCAGACGCATGGAGGTGAGAGCTAGGGCAGGTAGATCTGGCAGAGGGTAGAGGACGGGAGGGACGGCAGAAGATATGAACCCAGGGAGGCGAGCACCAGGGCAGACACGAAAGGCAGAAGATATGAATGCAGGGAGTTCAGGAGACAATTGGGGTCTGGAGAATGGCAGACATGTGAGGAGTCTGATATAGATGGTAACTCCTTAGATGAGCATATAGAAACTAGTATTTGGTCCTGAGTCAGCCACGTGGCCGTTGACCTGTGCATCAAGAGAATCGGACGGTTGCAACGGTTTCTCGCCACGTGGACCTTCGAGATTGGCCGAGTTCTGAAAGACCGTGGGGAATAGGAGGGGTAGGAAGGTAAAAGTGCAGGGTGGAAAAAGGAAGGGAAGGAAATGGAAGGAAAGGGAAGGGAGGAGAGGGGAAGGGAAGTGAAGGGAGGACGTCAAAAGGGAAGGGAAGGGAAGGGAAGGGGAGGGAAGGGAAGCGAAAGGAATAGAAGGGATTGGAGGGGAAGGGGAGGAGCGACCTAGGGGGAAGCGGAAGTGAGATGTGGGGGAAAGGGGAAGTGCGACCTGGGGAGAAGGGGGAGGAGCGACCTGAGGGGGAGGGGAGGAGCGACCTGGGGGGAAGGGGAAGTGCGACCTGGGGGGAAGGGGAAGTACGACCTGGGGAGAAGGGGAGGAGCGACCTGGGGGGAAGGGGAAGTGAGATGTGGGGGAAAGGGGAAGTGCGACCTGGGGGGAAGGGGGAAGAGCGACCTGAGGGGGAGGGGAGGAGCAACCTGGGGGGAAGGGGAGGAGCGACCTGGGGGGAAGGGGAAGTGCGACCTGGAGGAAAGGGGAAGTGCGACCTGGGGGAAAGGGGAAGTGCGACCTGGGGAGAAGGGGAGGAGCGACCTGGGGGGAAGGGGAAGTGCGACCTGGGGGAAAGGGGAAGTGCGACCTGGGGGAAAGGGGAAGTGCGACCTGGGGAGAAGGGGGAGGAGCGACCTGAGGGGGAGGGGAGGAGCGACCTGGGGGGAAGGGGAGGAGCGACCTGGGGGAAAGGGGAAGTGCGACCTGGGGGAAAGGGGAAGTGCGACCTGGGGAGAAGGGGAGGAGCGACCTGGGGGGAAGGGGAGGAGCGACCTGGGGGGAAGGGGAGGAGCGAACTGGGGGGAAGGGGAAGTGAGACGTGGGGGAAAGGGGAGGTGCGACCTGGGGGGAAGGGGAAGTGCGACTTGGAGGCGACGAGGAGGCGGCGCGCCGATGAGAACGCGAGGGGGCGAGGCGGCGATTTTGCTGTGATGCGCTGATGACGAGGCGCACAGCCGGGGGCGCTCAGTAGCACGGATGCGAGTTAAGCGGATTAGGGAACACTTAGCGCGAGGTGGCGGCGATGCGCCGATGAGGAGGCGAGGCGGCACAGGAGGTCGCATGGTCGGAGCGCGAAGCAGCGTGGAGGCAAGAGGCTGAGGATGCTGGGAAACTCGGGAGTCGGGGAGGCGGTTGCGACATGGCGACTCGGCGATAAGGCAGCGACGTGGGGAAAACGATCTGAATCGCCGTTTGTGACTTCGCGAGCTAGCAGAAGATATCGCCAGCAACATACGACGAGGCTTGTGTGTACACGTCGGGGGCCGGAAACTCTACTCTCCGGACTCTATCGTCGTGGCGATAGGGAAAGCACGCTAAGTTTATATGCATTGGTGGTACCTAAGTGGTCTAGATGCAAATCTGCTTTCACTCAGGTTGATGTTTATCACATGGTTCCGTTCCTTGGTTGCGCCAGACGCTTCGTTTCCGCTGTTCCGCGGTGTATTCCCCTGCCCAATCTCTGTACGAAATTGGTTGCGGCCAACTTCATAAATACTCAGATTAGTCCCGAGCGGGCTCTCAGGTGTAATCAACCTGGACTTTCTCGACGTTGATTGGTTGTCGCTGTTTAGTCACACTGTTTACGCTGGTCGAAATGTTTGGGAGATGACAAAAAGAGAACTATCTAGTTTACCCTCCCGACTTGGATTTGTTAAATTAAAGTACGTAAATTTACGACAGGGCAGAAAAATTAAACCCCTAAAGAATCTGGACGCATTTGCGCGAGGGATCAACCCTAAACACGGCAAAGGGCATTGTTTTTAGGGTTGATGCCTCCCGAGTCCCATCCCTTCTCGATCGGGTTTTAGTTTTTGGGTCAAGAGGGTGCAATATATTTTTCCTGAAGTGGGCGGCTTCCCGTAGTTGAGGTTGATCTGTCTCGAAATTCATCTAGGTTCGCTACAAGTTTTTTTTTTCAGGTGTTGCATTTTCGGTCGTGACTGTATTCAGAAAACAGCAAGAAACACCTACTACTATACCGCGAAACTGTGTTTCTGTTGGTGATTACACCTGAGAATCCGCTCGGGAATACTTTGAGTATCTACGATATTGGCCAAAATTGGTTGGCATCGCCAGCCAAGTTTGAATCCCTCGCGCCAGCTATCCGTACCCTAAACGTTTCGCTGTCGAATCAGACCCCGTCAAAGGGTGTACACAAACATTGCCCCCAAAAACCACCCCCAGGAATGTGCACCCTTGCTTTAACATGTCACGATGTACACGGTACACACCATGGCATAAGCTAGCTGAGGGCGGTATTTCATTCCAGGGGTAATCAAGGGAACTTGTATCGTAACAGGAGCACCGTTGAGCTGACTCAATGTCTCTCTCCATGCCATAAAAATATCAGAAGAACCTAGTACGCAAGATGCGCTGGTGCAACAAGAGGGCGTGGGTGCTTAGTGAATGTACGTCTTGTTATGATTTTTTAAGGCCAGGTCAGGTTTTTAATGCTCTGATTTGGTAGGTCTTAGTTTTTCAACAGGTCTGATATTCATGACTATTTGACCGAGAATTATTTGAAGATCATGTGAGCGACTACTTCGATAACGAAGTCGGTTCATCTCCGTTAGTAATGCTGCTCGTGTGGCTCTGCTGGACAACAATATCTCCGTGGCGCAGGTGTTTGGAGAACGGCGTTTCAGCCAGCTTGCCATCGAGATTTCACCTGCGGTGTTCGCATCACTTTCAGGGTCAGTTCAGGACCCCGCTCGCCACGCAGTCGCGCAGCTTGCCCTCAGCGATTTCCATCTGTATGGTAACCACCATGGGTTCAATGACGTTTGCGAATAGCCCTGGGGTCCAAACACTAACACCTTCAACGTATGGATGCAAGGACAACGGGGGTTGTACGTAACTCGGGATTTTCCCTTTTGACCGATCTGTACACCACCTCCCAAGCTGACTCGCCTGGACTCACCACCTCCCAACTCACAAACAACGTCCAGAGCCAACTAAGGTCACCTTCCTGGGCTGTCCCAACTAAGCGCATTGCAAGAGATGAGGCAGTGGGAGCCTGGGATACCTATCACGATTTCCATGTGAGTGTTGATCACTGGACTTCGTCTCGGGGAAATTTCTCGTTTCTATCAGCTACTGGACTACATCAGGACGAAAACTACCAACATGAAATGAAAGAATATTTTACGCTTGTTAACGCGGATCTACAATACATTCCCAGTAATTACCCCCAGCCCATATACCCCCAATCACAGACAAATGTTTCAAAAGAGAAGGATAAAAGATGGTGTACACTGCAGATCTGCTTATTAAGCAGACGGATACAAGCACTGAAGAGAGCAAGCCGATTCAGAGAAGCTGCAGCAACCGTAATGGTACAAGCCCAGGCCGTTCCATGGACACAATACATTTAGGTCCGCCCAATCGCGCAGGAATATTTAACACCGCGTATAATATCACCAGAGAAGAATCATCTGCTGCTGCCGAGCGCCACTAGCTAAGCGCGCTTAGAGCTTCCCGGAATTCCCTGGGCCACCAGCAGCGGGACCACCAGTGCCGGGGACGACAGGGCCAGAACCACCCGTAGGGGGAACAACAGGGCCTGCACCACCATTGCCGGCACCACCATTGCCAAGAGGGCCGTTCCCAGGTGAGGAGGTCACCCCGCCGTAGTTGCACACACCCGCAGCGCAGGTGCCTGGGCACCGGGCACCGCAGGCGCCGCAGTGGGCGTTGTTGGTGTTGGGGTTGATGCAGGTGCCGTTGCAGCAGATTTGGGTGAGATCGCAGAAGTTGGAGCACACGCCACAGTTGTTAATGTCGGTCAAAATGTCCACGCACAATCTGAGGAGAATCCACACGAGAAGAAAACAGAAGGCACGCAAATAATAGGTGAGAAGAAGCGTGATAGGCTCAACGGAGTTTGGGCAGAATGATTAAACACAGAAGAGCAATACGAACGGCAGAAGGCCGGATAAAGACTCGCAGGGGAGAACGCGTGAGGCAGAGGAATGAGAAGAGGGACATGCGTGCAGAAGGTTTCGCAGAGAGAAGCGAGAAACTTACGATCCGCAGAGAGTTTGGTTTACGCAAGTGGGAAGCTCTGTCAGCTTGCGCCACCTCAGTCGGTGCGCGCTGCCGCTGCGGACGGAGTTGCGCACGGCGTACTTCTGCGCGATGGAAAGGAAACGGATGGAATGACATGAGGGTAAGGACACAAGTGTGACGCAAGCGTCTAAAAGGTGCTCGGGAGTGTAGAGAGGTTGCATGTTTAGGTTTGTGAGACAGACAGCTATGCAAGGCGGATCTTCTATCAGGTGGACTACGAGAATCCCCGATCCTGTAACCGTAACATAACGAGATCTAAATCGTCAGAAGAAAAAAAAAATACCGTACTCCTAGGAGCAACTAATATTGTCAACATCCTAGCTAGTGCTTCTTAGGCGGAAAACTAGTCGTTGACTGGCAGAAACTAGAATCGAGCGGTCCCAGGGGCGGAAAAGACTAAGCACCTCGAAATTGCTGCTTGATGCTTGCGCGGCGTGGGCCAGCGCGAGGCACAGCAGTATGGTGATCAACACTTGAGTCTTCATGGTGACTAGCTTGTTCCAATGATCCGCCGAGGCTGGAACCTCTCTGATATCGACTAAGCCGTTCTTAGCTCAATGTCCGGCTGCTGTGATGGTTGAAGCAGGCTGCTAGCAGGATCTGGTGAAATGGCTCCAGGCTAAGTCAACCTGGAAGAATGGAGGGATTGCTTTCTCTACTATGGGATGGGCAGAGAGTTTTGCTGCGGACTCGTTCAAGATGGTTGAAGCGGAAAAGCGGGTTTCGTGAATACTTGATCGCACAAGCCCCTGAGCAATACCTGCGGGTGACCTCATACCAGCAGGTGCGATGGAAACATGTGGTCTGCGAAATTACTGTTCCGCTACCTGCTCCCTTCCCGGTTGGCGGGGCGCCGCGAGTGGAGGAACAGGTATCTGAGGAGAAACCCCTGGCAACAGAGAGCCTTGTGTGCGACGCAGCGCACACTCAGCTGAAATCTTGCGCGAGGCGCAGAGCATAACGCTGGGTGTGTGCGACAGTTTCGCCACTGTGGTTGGACGGCTGTGCTGCCCTAGCGAGAGAGCGAGAGGTGCACTCACATCCAGGTGCCAACTATGCAGGCAGAACTGGCAACCACGAATGTTCAAGGCATGCTATGTCACTTTTACTGCAGTGTTGCGATTCTATTAATTCCTTGGTGGCGTTTCAGTGGAAATTTCTAAGTGGTGATCCAGACTTGGAACCGGAATGTTTTCCTTTCAGCAAACAAATTCGTAAAAAGATAAAACCCCACTTCATCTGGTGGCAGGTACATAGACCATCAATTCAGGTGCACGCAGGTGGACGCCGTACCGCAGGTGAATTTCCAAGTCAGTCGTCCTGAACTGTTTTCATGGCCTTCCCGAGAAAAGTGGCGAGCGACAACTTTCAAGCGCGCGAAAAGTGGAACCCAGAGTTGGACGGCGGGCGTTGAACTGCAGAGTCTGCGACGCACTGGATTCAAGCATCCGATTCGTCAGAGAGCAAGCGAAGTTCTAACGGTCGCCGTCCAAGGAGATGTGAACAAATGGTAACAAATATGTTACGACCCACTTGAAACCAGAATGCATTACCCTATTTATAAGGTGTCTGAAGGCCGATCTTTCTTCATGTGTTGACATAGATCTTAATATTAGCTGGATATTAACTCATAAAAGAGCTGCGCCATAATTCTCACAATATCACCGGAATATAATAATTATCCAATTGTAATGAGAACAATGCCAGTTAATAAGATTAAGAAAGCAAGCTTTCTCAATCAACTGATGTATTCGTATAGTTAAAAATAAGCTAGAGTGCAGTATGGCCCAGCACAGTATAGCCTATTCCCATGCAGATTATATCAAAACAAAAGGATGGCAGGCTAACCAGTGATTTGCTTATGAAACTTATCTGGATGACCCTCAGTTTTTATACACTTTAATGCTGTCTTCATTTCTTATCCATGGACCTACAGAACAAAAACAGCTATATACATCGGACAAGTACAGAAGGGGATGAGCATGGTAAATGCTCCGAGATAAGCGCTAACGCTTGGGGAGTGATTTTGCCCCTTCAACTCGCATTAGCGGCTTCGGCGTGCATCAAACGCTGGGCTGGTCGCTGTATCTTCATTTGAGTGGACAGGAGATGGAGAATTCTCATCTCTCCGCAATATTGCATGCTGCGCGTCGTAAATGTCACTCTACGAGCACGACAAATGTCGCGAGATCTTCCGTCGATACCGGTTCAACAAGGAGCACAGCCCATTGTTTCGTTCCCGGGACAAATGACTGCTCTCAGGAATTGCAGAACGTGCACTGCGTGAAGCTGTTAACGATGACGACGAGGAAGTGACGAACGTAGCACCACTAGACATAGTCTCCCCGGCTGTTGCGTCACCGTAACGACGAGAAGGCTGGGAGGTTGCGAAGGGATGATTCGACAAAGCTTGCTCCAGGCAAGACTTGAATTGTTCCTCCGCGATCCACATGTCGGCTGCTGATTGATGAATGCTGTGTCGCATCTCCTCCAAGTGGTCCGAGTTTAGGTATGCACGGACCTCTGAGATAGCACGAAAACGGGGGAAAAAATCATACGGGATAGAAGAGTGAGAACGAAAGGGTTATGAGAGTCGCTGAAGTTACAACTTGTTGAGGCATCAGGCATCGGGTAGACGTCAATGAGAAACGCGGCAAACGCACATGGCCAACACGTTTCAGATTTGACCCCAAGCTTACCATCTAGAGTCGGATGAGTCCCCTGAAACCTAGTCATCGCGGAAAATCGACCAGTTGCCTGTGCGTAAAACTAATCCCTAAGTTAGGCGTGTCTGAACCCTAAAAGGCTGGGGGTTTCTGGCTCTTGAGAGGGGGTCGACGAATTTGACGAGTGAAAAAGCTGAGAAATGAACTAAAATAAATAAGAACGCGAAATGCGCATCGTCAACGCTGAATCAGATGTGGACAGCTAGCGAAGTCCAGGAATTCACTATTTCTCAAGGGTGACGAAAGCATACTTTGTCTCACTGATGAAGTTTCTAAAAGCAATTCAGTGGGGGATGGAGGACTGCTGGAGTAGAGAAACTCCAGCACACATCATCTGTCCACGCCATGCTGGTTCAGGCGTCCTACTCCTGAACCAATATAGGAACCACGACAGCCGAAGGGACTGGCAGCAAGCGACCCCGCCCCAAAAGCTTCGAAAGAACGCCACAGGCGCCCAGCATGCGGGGCGGGACCAGTCCTAGCATGTGATGATGAACGCCGCATCAGCACTGGATATTGTGTTTCCAGCAGTCCTACGCTGGTCCTAAAAGTTGTGACTGTGGCCCGTGCTTCGCGGATGGCAAAAAAAAAGTTTTAAACAGTAAACTGTTCACATTTGTTGGCAACATAACGTGTTCTTGCCAGTCCCAGGGAAGGTTTGAATAACTGTTCTGTACTGTAATCCCACGTCAGATGCAAATTCATTCTGCCCAGGCATTCGAGTTACGTTGGCCACCAAGCTGCACTCTGAAAATGTCTTACAAGTTGTGCATTCATAAAGTTGTTACAGTTACATTCCATGGAAGGGGATGGAGGGTTGACATTCCTTGATGTTCGCGAATTGAGAAATGTAACGAACCCATCGTTTAATGTCTGCATTGGCGACTCGGCGGTGAATCAACAGCGGTGCATCGCAACCAGCAAAATTGCGCGACGCGCCAGCGCGCGAATTTGTTTTAATCCCATTGACCAACCTCGCACCGCAGGTAGGGCGACCGAACCTCGTCCAAATGGATCGACCTACATGCGCTTTCTAGATATTTTAAGGCTACGGACGTGTTCTTTTTGGCGTTACAGGCGCAATTTTGTTTTACAGCCAAAATCGCGGGATTACAGCTAGGGGTTTCGAATCCTTTCATGAAAGACAAATTTTGCGACGAGTAAATCATTTCAGTCTGGTCGTGCAGATAAGGCTTGTCTTATGTTCTATTTGTTTGGCCGAGTATTTTGTACGGTATATGTCAGAGGTCCACTGGTGATCCCCGATTGATCCTAGGGAAGGGTTACAGGCGCGTTTGCCTGGGGGGTTATGGGCGCACTGACCCGCTACTGAAACAAGCCCTTTTATCCCAATGGTCTAGTGGTTGGGATTCTGACATGGTATCAGAGCGAAGGTCTCGGGTTCGTATCCCGGTGTATGCACTTCGGGCATCCCAGTGCGGGGGGGTGTCAGAGGTCCACTGGTGATCCCCGATTGATCCTAGGGAAGGGTTACAGGCGCGTTTGCCTGGGGGGTTATGGGCGCACTGACCCGCTACTGAAACAAGCCCTTTTATCCCAATGGTCTAGTGGTTGGGATTCTGACAGTATAAAACGAACTAAACCCCATAGGGAGCATGGCACACTTTTGTTACAATCCCAAGTGGGACTTAGCAAAGGATCGCTCAGGGTTGATCGCGGAGTAGTGTTGCAGCGGAAGTTTGAATCTCAGGTCAGAGTGAATGTAAATGACTGAGTTGATAATAGCATGCATACATCGAGTTTATATAAGAGTACAAGGGAATACGAAAGGACCTAGACTAGCCATGTACTCTAAGGGTACATTCCCTTATTACAACTGAATTCAGAAACCGTGCGGCGCGTGTCAGACTTTATATTATTTATATTTGTAACTGCCTGTAGCTGTAGTTAGTGTAGTTATTATAAACCTAGTTTGGTGGTGCACCTTCATTGTTTCCTATGCTATATGTTCTTTGAAACCTATAGTGAAACCCCTTTTCCCAACTTACCCTTGGCAAGATCTTCTCGAACTCGTTGGCCTAGGCTATGTGAGAATAAGCGAACAGGAATGAATGAACTAGCAGTGAAATGAGTACAAGTAGGAAACTCTAGAATTATGTACCCCCTATAGGCTAACCCACTGTAGCCTACACAAGCATAACATATATAATGTTTGACACACCCCCATAGGCAAAGTGGGGGAGAACAAGGGGTCACAAGACCAGTCAAGCAAAGCAAAGCAAGCTCAGGGTGGATCACAAAGTCACCACCCAGTCCGAGCACAAGAGCAGGGCCAGAGGCCAGTTCACATGCAGGAGTACAGACATATATATAAAACTAGACAAGCAAGAGCAGGTATATATATATGTCACAGTACAAGTGAAGTCAAGAGGAGAGCAAGTGAGGCAAGACAGGCACAAGACCCAGCTGGGTGCAAAAGCGCTGATGGTCACAAGGCGCGAGTGCCTTGGTGAACACATCAGCAGTGTTGGCCTCAGAGGCCACGTACGCAAGTCGCAACTGACCACGCTGCTGCAGCTCACGAGCAAGGAAGTAGCGGAGAGCAATGTGCTTCGTTCTGTGCTCCAAGCGCTGCTCTCGACACAAGGCCAGCATGGCCTTGTTGTCTACGTACAGCACTGGAGGAGAACGAGGTGGCTCTCCAAGGTCAGTCAGCAGGTAGGTGAGCCAGCGAAGCTCCTGTGCAGCCATGGCCCCGGCGTAGATCTCAGCCTCACAACTGGAGCCGAGAACCGAAG